CCCTCTCCCGCCACAGAGGCATTTGGACACCCACCCACCACCAGCCCCAACCACGTCAATTCCTCCATCTGAAAAGATCTCTTCAAGAACTCGGGGTTTTTGTTGGTGCTGGTCTTGATGCTGCGCTGGAGCGGTTTGTGTGGAATCGACGACGTTTGTATTTCGACGATTTATTTCGACGGCCGATCCGATATTCAAATGCGACGTAGTTCTTGCTCTCAACGTTCAAATGCGACTTCTTGTCTCGATGGTTGTTGAGCGACATCACGATCATATCTCGATAACAACTACGAATATTCCAGGTAAGCTCTGACACTTTAGAATGTATCACCATGCCAGCCAGCACCCACTCTCCAGCCACGCCTTTCAGCTGTACTGCGCAAGGTAGCACAATCCAGCAATCCTGGCAAAGTGCAGATAGGCGTCGGCGAGCCCCGCTGCGAAATAGCTTTAGCAGAGATGCCAGAGTAGCGGCCAAGCCGAGTTTTAGTAGTTGCCATTCACATTTTAACATGTACGAATTAGGCCAAAGGCTAAAACATCAAGAAAAACCCAGGCTGGAACGCACTGGATGGGCCCGTGCGATCATGCGTTTTTGCATTTTACTTGAATTACTCAGGTCATTAACTGTATGAATAACTCTTGCTTTACATCTACCTTTTGCGGTCACTAGCATAAATCACCACAAATTTTGCAAAGTAAATGTGCAGTTTTTCCACTTGACAGTCGTTCTTCAAAAGTAACCTAGTTGTTCAGTGAAAAATTTTTTTGTCAAGGCTTTTAAGTGTCTGTACATAAGAACCACGCATACCTCAAGGGTCAATTTGAAATACTTAAGTTGTACTTGGACAGGGTACATTCCCTCAAAATTTCAGCCTTCCAGCTTTTCTGGTTGCCGAGTTAGCAATTTTCCCGCCAAAGCCTTCACATATCCGTACTTGGGTACTCCACGTGCTTGAAAAGCTGAATTTGAAATATTTGAGTTGTACTTGGTTACGAAACATTACCCCAAAATTTCAGCTTTCTAGCTTTCCTGGTACCCGAGTTAGCAATTTCCCTCTTAAAAGTTTCATGTGCCCTCACGTGAGTAACACCCATAGCTTGGGGCTGAATTTGAAATATTTGAGTTGTACCTTGATAGGGAACATTCTCCCAAAATTTTAGCTTCCTAGCGCTTCTTAGCTTTCCTGGTACTGGGGTTAGCAATTTTTCCCCTAATACTTTCATATGCCCTTACGTGAGTACCACGCGTAGCTGGAGGCTGAATTTGAAATTTTTAACAAGGAATATCCTTACCAAGTTTCAGTCCCTTAGCTCATATGGTTCGCGAGATCGCTTTCCCGCCAAAAAATTTGCATATTTTTTTACAGCATCCGTATGCAACACCCAGGCATCTGAGGTCGATGAAGTTAAAACGGGAGAGTCGCACATGATATGGGCGCATATTCCCAAAGGTATGAGTCTTCTAGCTTTTCTGGTTCTCGAGTTGAAAGTGGGTGACAAAAAGTGCGAACACACAGACACA